GCAAACTACTTTTCATACGTTTCGAGGTAGGTACCTACTTCTAATCATTTCCTTTTTTCATCAGGTTACCAGATTGTTTCGTCATGATAAATTTTCTAGATTTTTTTACAGCTGACAAGATTAATTTATTATCTGTTACTTCTTCAGCCCAGAATTTAACTTTACCATCACCATTTCCTCAGGTGAAAACGAAGGACAGCTCAACAAATCCAATCCAAGGTGTCACGTGATCCGTGCCGAGGGATGCATGACGGTGGTAGAGCACCGCCCGGAACGGAGCCTTGAAGATACCAGGCGAACTCTTCCAGTAAGCAGCCTACCGGTGGCATTCCCTGAGGAGACCCTCAGTGCAGAGGTACTCTCGGTACTAGAGGATGCCATTGTGGAGAAGGGCGCGGAACACAATTTCCAATTTGGGGGCATACACTTCCGCCCAAACATGTTGGTAATCGATTGCCTCACCAAGGAAACGGTGGAGTGGCTGAAGGAACACGTCCCCAAACTCGAGACATGGCAGGGAACAGAGTTGATGGTGTGCATGGGAGACGACATCCCGAAAGCGCACTCCATCACAATCTTCTTCCCCAGAAGTAAAGGGCAAGAAAGCCAAAAGATTCTTAGCCTAGTAAAAATGAGGGGCTTAACACCCAGTTGTGGAAAATACTAGGCAGCAAAGAAGAAGGCAATGGTCAATTATTGAACATCGGCATTGACGATGGGTCCTGTGAGGCCATTAAAAGAATAGCACACAGCATCTTTTTCAGATTCGGGAAAACCCCCGTCCATGGCCTGAGAAAGAAAAAGGAGAGGGAAGTGTCGGACGAAGAACCAAAGGAGCCCACCTCCTCAGGTTCCAAGCCTGAATCTTTCTTAGAGGGCAAAGAAGGTGAAGAGGACGAAAGCCTCGAGGAAGGGGAAAAGACCCTTACTTAGGAATACACTCCATCTCACCAGAAGATAAAAATAATAGCAGGTAAGATGGCGTACCATACCAAAATAGCCCAAGTGAACACTCACCACGCTAAGGGAGCATCTGCTGTCATAGCGCGGCTGTTCACTACGGCAAACTTGGGGGCCGTACTGATCCAGGAACCCTGAGTTTAAGGAGGGAGGTCAGAGGCCTTCCCGGTGGACGGGCCAAAGCAATCTGGGACACTCGCTGTAACGACCCCAGAGCATGCATTCTCTTGAAAGAAAACATTAATCACTTATGTCTTTCAGAATTCACGTCGCGGGACTTGGTTGCCATTCGGGTAAACCTTACCACCGATCAACCACACCGCGAACTAGTACTGGCATCAGGATACTTTGCTGGAGATGGGCAAGCACCACCAGAAGAAGTACAAGGACTAATCGAGTACTGTAACAGGAGCAAACTACCGCTCCTACTCGGCTGCGACGCAAACGCCCACAACACCATTCGGGGAGGTACCGACAAGAGGTGAGCAACTGTTAGAATTCATTTTTCAAACTAGACTTAATATACTAAATGTAGGGAATACACGAACATTCGTTACTAGGGTAAGACAGGAGGTGTTAGACCTAACACTTTGATCAGGAATTGGAGAGTGTCCAATGAACCCTCTGTCTCTGATCACAGAATCATAATATTTGATATAGAAGGAGTGCAGGAACGAACCATCTGGTACAGAAACCCCAGGAACATTAACTGGGAATAATACACAACCAACCTGCAATGCAATCTTAAACAAAATAACTTTAGATGTAAGAACACACGAGAAGCAGAAGAATCGCTCCAGTTTCTCAACGGGGCAATCATGGAGGCATATGAATCCAGTTGTCCCGTAAAAGAAAAAGTAAACAAAAATAGTAGTAGCCCATGGTGGAGTAACCATTTGTCACTACTTAGATCCGAAGTAAGTCGGCTCTTTAATAGAGCAAAACGAGACGGAGAATGGCAGGGTTACACCGAGACGCTTACTGAATACAACAAAGAAATTAGAAGGGCCAAACGCAAAAACTTCAGAGATTTTTGTGAAACCATCACAGAAACTCCACTAGCAGCCAGACTATACAAAACCCTGGCAAAAGGCAGGACGCAAGGACCACTGACACTTAAGAAACCAGACGGTAGCTACACAGAAAATGAGCAAGAACGAGCTGTTCTATTACTGGAAACTCACTTTCCAGGAAGTACAATTAATAGTACTAGAGAAAGCAAAGTTCAACCCAAGAAAACCAGGCAAGAAAACTGGGCGATCAACACATTCCAACCATTTAAGTCGCCTGGAGTTGAGGGCATCTTTCCAGCCCTGCTGCAAAAAGGGCAAAATGGAATTATGCCGTATTTGATGAAACTGATCAGATTCAGCTTAGCGACCGGGTATTTGCCAACTCAATGGAGAAGAGCCAAGGTAACCTTCATCCCAAAGGTAGGGAAAAAGGACGCCACTCTACCGAAGTCGTTCAGACCTATATGCCTTACGTCGTTCTTACTGAAAACAGCAAAGAAAGTTGTAGATAACTATATCAGAACAAGTGTTCTGGAAAAAACGTCATTACATCCCCGGCAACATGCTTACAGAGCGGGACGATCAACAGAAACCGCTTTATTTGAACTCTCTGATAGCATCCAGAACACACTGCAAAATAAGGAAGTAGCCATCTGTGCTTTCTTAGGGAGAGGGGGCATTTAATAACACCTCTCATGAATCAATTAAGAATGCACTCGTCAGGAAAGGAGTAGACAAAACAACATCCACTTGGACCAGAACTGCAGAATCTGACGCAGGTGAGCAAACCATACAAGTCAACACAACTAGAGGATGTCCACAAGGAGGGGTACTATCACCCTGGATGTGGAATCTAGTGGTTGATGATCTCATTAGAGTACTGACCGACCAGGGCCTCACCTGCTTTGGATATGCCGACGACATCGTCATTATGGCCAGAGGCAAATTCGAAGGAATACTCTGTGACCTTATAGAAAAAGCACTTCAAACCACAAAGGAATGGTGTCAGTCAGTGGGCTTGAATCTAAACTCAGCGAAAACCACGCTGGTAACATTCACAAGAAAAATAAAACTCCCAAATCTGAGAAACATTTACCTCAATGGAAGCAAACTCAATTGGAAGCAAGAAGTAAAATTCCTAGGAATAACCCTAGACTCTAAACTTCTCTGGAATCGACACGTGGAAAACATAAAAAACAAAGCAATTTCGGCACTCATGGGGCTGTAACCCATCAATCTTGCGATGATTGTGAGACCCATCATCACCTACGGAGCAGTAGCTTGGCACAGCCGAACCGAGCTAGTAACAGCTAGGAAAACCCTAGGAAAGGTACAAAGACTTGCGTGTCTCTGTATAACAGGAGCAATGAGATCATGTCCAACTGCGGCACTAGAGGTCATAGTCGACCTCACACCACTTCACATAATACTGAAGCGGGTTGCAAGTGGATCACACCTCAGACTGGCGAAGATCGGGATTCAAGGAAAATCGCATTCTGGTAGAGCTTTTCCTCTTTTAAACTGTTCACACCTGATGGATCTACCAAAAGATGAAACTATCAAGAAATATAGCTTCGAGAAACTTTTTTCCATCGAACTTAGCACGAAAAACGAATGGAACATAGAATCTCTCCAATCCCTGAGCAAACACCATCAAATAGTACACAGACGGTTCCAAAATAGCTGAGGGAACTGGATCAGGAGTATTCGGGCCACGGATCAGATACTCGGAGCCTGTGGGCAAGTCACCAAGCATTTTCCAAGCGGAATTGCATGCGATCGAAAGATGCGTGCATACAATCTGAACAAAAGATACTGAAAACGAGAAATTACGATAATGTCTGACAGCCAGGCAGCTATCAAAGCATTGAACTCACCAGTCATCAATTCTAAGATAGCATAGTAATGTCTACAGAAACTCAATGAGTTAGGAAAAGAAAACAAAGTAACTCTCCTCTGGGTGCCTGGGCACATGGGAGTTGAGGGCAACGAATGCGCAGATGCACTCGCAAGAACGGGAGCTTCTACCCCCTTCACTGGGCCAGAACCATTCTGCGGTCTGGGCAATAGGCACTTCCAAGGAATCCTCAAAAAGGAAGAAAACAGGCTAAGAAACAAACACTGGCTAGAACAGCCAGGACTACGGCAGGCCAAAGATCTACTGGGCAACTTTAACCAAAAAAGACTGCTAGTCAACCTTAGAAAGAAAAGTCTCAAAACGCTAACCGGGTTCCTCTCGGGACACTGCAGACTCAAAAAAAAACCTACACAAATTAGGCCTGGGAGAAAATGGCACCTGTAGATTCTGCGAACACGGAGAGGAAACACCTCACCACCTTCTACTGAATTGTAATGCCATTAGTCGTTCAAGGATGAAGAATCTGGGAAGCCCCACCATACAGTTGGAAGATATTTCAACTCTGGAACCGCTGGATATCCTAAGATTCCTTAAGGACCTAGGACTGGAGGGGCTGCTTTGAGCAGAAAGCCCTGACCTGGCAGCAGAAGGCGGGGTACAATAGATCTACCAGGTCGCGGTGCAACTGACACCTCCAACACATACAACATACAACAACATACGTTTTCTCAGGTAGTAGTTTCTTTCTCATCAACTTTCGTGGGCTTTCAATTTGGCAACCAATCAGGGCCAAGAGGTATTGTGTATGTTCCAAAGTTGACAATGTCAAAATCTATCTTGGGAAAAAATAGACCATAGGTCTCTGATAGGTAAGTATGTTAGCTGTCAATCAGAAAAACCAAAAACTGGACGAGTCATTAATAAAAGCATAGTTTAGGAACAAGCAATTGGAAAATTAGTCAAATGGCATCCTCGATGATATAAATCTGATCATAAATATCGTTTTTCAGAGATTTCAAAAATCCGAATTGGGTTATCCTATAATGCGCTTATCTACTGTTTTGTAAAAATATGTATTAATCGAAATACACCATCACTTAAAATATTGGCAACTTAAGCTCTGTGTGATTCTTATCCCAATTAAGAATGCTGATAAAAGCATTGAATTAATAACAACAGGTTAAATACCTATGTACTCAAGAATCCACTTCAGAATTTCAAAAAAAAGAAATTGGAGACTAGCTAAAAACAATAATAATAAAAATGGATATATTATTTTGCCTTATTTCACCTTTATTTCTTACATATTATGTGCTGGCTTTGGATTCTCGTAAGTATTTCATGAATTTTTTTTTTGCAAGTCTAAGTTAATATAAGGGTCCATAAATTTAGTTATTGTAATGTGTAATAATTATAATATTCATGCCTGGCAAGTAGGTACATTCAAAGAAGAAAATAAATCCTAGTCAATTGTTCAAATAATGTTTATGCTCAGTTCCAACTAATTGTTACACCCATTACTTTTCAGCTGATTGTCCCGAAGGATGTAAGGAAGTAATGTACTTTCCTGACAAAATATGTCACAAATTCTGGCGATGTTTCGATGATACGGCTTACCTATTCATATGCCCTCGTGGTCGTCAATGGAATCCTGTCCTGAATAATTGCGATTTACCGGAATCGGCTGGTTGCACTGGAATGGGATGGCGCAATATTTCTTCAGAGTGGTGAGAGACTTGAACATATTAATTAATTGAAAAATGATTAAAATGTGGTTTTTAGAAACCTTGAAAACTTTTTCGTCAACTAAAACTTTGTATTTAATATTTGTGAAACAAGTTCTGCAAGTTTGATATTGTTACAGGACATTTATTTATTAGTGCACTCTTTACGATTGCTGATTTTCCTGTCTGCCCTTTTATATAAACTGTATAAATATTTTCTTGAATTGCACCAGGTGAAATCAATAACCACATCTAATTCCACTATGAAAAAACACCTTGTGTCGCTCAAAGTAAACTCAATAGGTATGTTTTTTTTTCAGCCCAAATACGATAACAACTACAACTACAATACAACCAGTAACACAACGTAAGTAAAACTGGATAATTTTTATTTCACTAAATTACGTATTTTCAATAAATGATGAATTTCGCGTTAAGTATCTTTCACCAAAATATAAGAGGTTACTGTGAACGGGCATTTATTTAATATCTAAACATTTTCAATTGTTTCCAACAACGGTGAAAAAAAAAAAGTATATTTTTCCAGCCCAATGCGAAAACGAAAAAGATGGTACCTTCTACCCAAACAACGAGTGTAGTAAATTCTGGACATGCGCCAACGGCATTGCCTACCAATTCGACTGCCCAAAAGGCCTATACTGGAACTCCAATTTAAACGTTTGCGATTGGCCATTGTTTGCCGGATGTACTCAAGGAAAAGTGAATATGTAAACATGAATTTGTATAGAGACTGAAAGAGAAGTATTTCGCTGTAGTTAGATTACTTGTACAGGCCTATTATTTAATATTTCCATGTTTGGCTTGCATCCACTTTTTTATTAAATTAATATGTACTATAAACGTGTTTCAGTGAACATTCTAAAAGGACGATTAGTCATTATTCAATAGTTTTTCAATTATTGACCATTCCAGTAATAAGTCACGCTGGAATCAAATATCTGAAATGAGTATCCATGAAACTGTTATACCTACAGCAGCAGTAAGTACCTTCATTTTTCATAGAAAATTCATCGAATGTTCCATTCAATACCTTCGGAAATTCTTTAAGTCCAATTAAAGCCTGATTTAATTCAAAAAAAGATGTTTTTGATTTGGAATAATACACGCCATGCAAATAAACCACGTTTGTTTGTAGTTAAAATTTGCCCACTCTTTAATGTTCATGTTCACTTTAATTTAAAGTTGTTTAATGTCAGATATAAATTTCTCCAGGTCACTATAAGTGATCAGTTATCTACTCCAGAGTCCAATATAAAAGGCTTCATACTGATAAATGTTTCTGCACAATTCAAAGCAATAAAAGCAATTTCACGGTTTTCTTGATAATTTCCACTGAACCATTTTATGTATAGCGGTCGTTACATCTTCAATTAAGTCAACGTATTTATCAGAAATACTTTGAACTCTTATCGATTTGGCTTTAACGTCCATAATTTTAAAGTTAGACCTTTCCTTTTCTGTTGAACATGTAACGTGCCAAAATTGACTAACTAATTCGTACTTGTTTCAGTTTTCCCTTCGAGATTCCTTCAATTTTGTTTACCTTCTTTTTCTCTATAAAATTTCAACAACAATTACAGCAATTACAGGTCCTGTAATTTTTCTAATTTTCAATATTTAAATTCTTTTTTCATTTGTTACTAGTTCTTGTGATGACTAATGATTTTCCTCGATTTTAATCAATAGTTTAATTCAATTGACCTTTTGTTTGGACGCCATATTGCGGTGCGCGAACATAGTTGCCAAAAGAAGAAAACAAAAATTACTAGCGGGCTGTCAACATTAAAAACAAAAGTAACTACATGATTGATCCATTGTGTTTGTTTACTTTCTCTCTCTGATTGATGGAAGACAATGAAAGTAAATGGGTAGATATTTTATTATTTCTATTCTGCCCAATACAAGCTAAAATTGATGGCTTCTCTTTTCAAAAACATTCGTAATAGGCGACAAATTTAAATTTAAAATGTAATTTATTCAGTAACTTTTGTTTTTAATGTTGACAGCTAGTAATTTGTTTTTTTCTACTTTTGGCAACTATGTTCGCGCATCGCAATATGGCGTCCAAACAAAAGGTCAATTTCAAAATCAGAACAAATCAATTATTTCTTCTTGGGTTATGTTTTCCCAATTGTTGTCCGTTTTCAAAGTGTGTACCGTTTGCTGTTAGGTTGCTGAACTCAGTGCCAGTTTTAGTTCTGCTCCCGGTCGGTTCCATAAACCACCGGATTGCTCTTTTCGCTCCCTATTTTACTCCATGTCCTATCCTTCAAATTATGATTGTTCTAATGGATAATTACCAGTTGTTATTATCATTAGTCGTCAGCTGTTGTAATTTTTCCCTGATAATGTTGTGGTGTGCAATTTTTGGTGCACCCTGACAAGTTAGGGTGATGCTAAAATTGCCACTAAGATGTTACTGGTTGAGGCTACAGACAGTATGGCTTGCCGAGAGTACCATAGCAAGAGATTTGAATAATGATTGTTGTTGATTAGCATCGGAAGTTAACCCTTGGTCTGACGGGAATGACATAAAGAAAAGAAAAGGGAAAAGAAAAAGAAATTAGTTGATTACTCAGTATCTGACTGATTGGTAGTTGGATCAAGGAATGGTTTGACCCCTTGTACATGCCAGACACCCTTCGAATTACCATGATCATCCTGTAGTTCATACGACCATGATCCACATTTACGATTTATTGAAAACGGACCAACATACTGAGGAGCTAACTTAGCAGTGATGTAGTTCGCAGCGTCAGAGAGGATTTTGTTCTTTCGCCAAACTTTATCACCTGGACTAAAAGTTACCGGACGCCGACGAAGATTGTACCTATTAGCATTCTGAGTTCTTGCGGATTTAATGTTGCTTTCGATCTGTTTGTACAACTTTACAGAACCTTCCTATCGGGTTTTCAGATAATTATCAAAATTGGGTGAAGTATGTGGAAGTTTAATGGAATGGTCTTTGCCATACAAATGATGTTCTGACACAAAGCCTGAAACTCTTTCGACTTCATCTGAACACCATTGTCACAGGTCAAAAATTTGGAGGCACCAAAAAGTAAAAAGAAATTCTCTACATGTTCAACTAGAGATTTGGCCTTAGCCGCACGACATGGATACAGGAAAACTGACTTACTGAAATATTCTAAGATGACAAGAATATAACAGTGTCCCTTTTTAGAACGAGGTAAGGGACCTATATAATCGAGACCGAAATGTTCAGTGATGACGGGCCTTTCTCCCATTACTCCTGCAGGTTTCACTTGATTAACCTTACTCTGAGCACAATAACGACAAGATTTAGTGTAGCGAACTATATCTGCCTTCATCTTGGGCCAAAAATAATTTTGACGGATTTTGCCAAAGGTCTTAAAGACACCAACATGACCATAGGTTGGAATGTCATGACAACGATTTAGAATTTCGGGTTTTCTATCCTTTGGAACTACCACTTTCCATTCTTCAGATGGAGAAGAAAGCTCAGAGAAATGGATCTTGATGAATTTATAAAGGATACCACCTTGCACACGCCACAGAGAAAATTTTAGGAGATATTGCTCGATTCTTTGGATCATAGATAGATACCCTTTTTCAGTAGTGTTGGAATTGAAATCAGGTTGATGGACTCGATGGAAATGATGGGGACTGATCTGGAAAGAAAATCAGGGACAATATGATCTTTGCCTTTGCGATAAATCAGGTCAAAATCAAATTGTTGCAAACGGAGCTGCCAACGATCCAAACGACCTTGAGAATCCTTTAACCTATGTAACCATAAGAGAGAGGCATGGTCAGTTATGACAGTGGAGTAGACATGGTCTAAATAATGACGAAGTTTCTCAGCGCTCCAAATTATTGCTAAACATTCTTTCTCAGTAACAGAAAGCTTCATTTCCTGTCTGGAAAGAGACCTGGAAAGATAGTAGATGACCTTTTCATCTTCGCCAAATTTTTGAGAAAGGACGGCTCCAAGTCCGAAAGATGATGCATCCATGTGCAGATAAAATGGCTTCTCAAAATCGGGAGCTGTCAAAACAGGGGCTGTGACTAAACATTCCTTTAAGGCAGTGAAGGAGTTTTGACATTCTGTGGTCCAGTTCCACTTGACGTTTTTTTTTTGGTAAGATTCAGAATAGGCGACAACAAAGAGGAAAAATCAGGAACAAATCGACGATTCCAGGAGGCTTTCCCTATAAAACGACGGAATTCATTAATATTTTGAGGCGAAGGAAAATTGACGATGGCCTTTACTTTTTCTGGATCAGGACGAAGAATCTTACTAACAACCAAATAACCCAAATATTTCAACTCTGGTTGACAAAAATTACATTTCTCGATGGAAACGACGAGACCAGCCTCGCGGAGTCTATCAAAGACAATCCCTAAGAGTTTAAGATGATCCGAAAAGGAGTTGGAAAGGATCACGATATCATCCAGATATACCATAACATTCGGCTCGAGTTCAGGGCCTAAAATAGTGTCAACTTTACGTTGCCAGGTTGCAGGGGCGTTAGATAAACCATAAGGCATCCTCCTAAACTGAAACAAACCTGTTCCAGGGACAGTGAAAGCTATAGGGAATTGGATAGGCATGTTTTTTCGTATGAAGATAGAGTTTACGAAAAACAATGCAGAATCTAAATTTTCCATCCTTTTTCCTAACTAAGCACACAGGGCTTGACCAAGGGCTATTAGATCGCTCAATGACACCAAGTCGCAACATTTCCTCGACTTCATCATCTATAATTTGTTGTTTATATGGGGAAACGGGGTAGTACCTTTGTTTGATTGGTCTTGTACCAGGTTCAAAAATGATCTCATGTTACAGTATGCCAAGTCAGAATCTATTTGAGAAATCTTGTCTTTGACCAAGGCGTCTAAAGCTTGTCGCTCAGAAGGATTCAAGTGGTTGATAGCTTGAACGTTACAAACTTCTGCCAGTTCTTGGGCTTAAGAAAAATGCTGAACATTCGGACTCATATCAGGAATGATTTCCATCGATTTCTAAAAATCTATACCCAATATCATCTTGTGGGAAACCTCAGGAAGTACTAAAACATCGAGGATTTTTGTTTTGTCAATTAAAGTTATGGGAACCTCAATATAACCAATAGTATCACATGTTTGACCATTAGCTACAGTACACGGATTATGTTACTTAATGAGTTTGAACTCAAGGCTTAAAAGAACTTCGTACCCAGGTAATCCGACAAGAGTCCAATAGGGTTTTTAGTAACGGTTACATTGTGACACAACCATACACGTACAATTGTAACCGAGATTGTAAATGTAAGGCTATTAAACCCCAGCCTAAGCCTTCTAGTTGGACGGTTATTCAAGTCTTCTGGACTATAAATTTTGAACCGCAAGATTGGTTTGACCATCTTAACCAAAATCAGTAGCCAGGACTAATCTGGTTAATTATACTTACTGCTACCATCGGAAACATTTTTTGGTATCCTACTAGTTTTAATTATCCTAACTTTATTTTATTGTTTATTTACATTCTGTCCCTATTTTTTGCACCATAGTGATCACTAAGGTATTTCAGGGAGTAATTCAACAACAGTTATTATTATGGGTGATTTAGCTAGACGCAACCTGATTCAGTTGGTTGGTTATTTGTGTCAACTTACTTGTAGTTCTAGTTACATCAGTATAAGGTTACCGCTCCGACAACTAATTGTTTATTAATTTTTTTTGTTTTTTCCTTATTTCTCTTTATCTTAAACTTTCGACTTTTTTTATTATTCATTTGTTTATTGAGTTACAATAGCATTTTCGTTTTTCTCATTTAATTTAATTACTTATGGCTATAACAAATA